CCCTTCCGCACCCCTTCTTAACTGCCGTGCCCGCGCCCCGCCACGCTCCCCCGCGCCCCCGCACCGCGCCCCACCATGACTTCGCTGCTCCTGCTCCTCGTCCTGCCAGCCCTGGCGCTCTCGGCGACGCCCAAGTGCCCCTCGCCGCCCTCCTTCCCCTCGCACTTCACCCTCACGCACCGCCTCCCGCTCGCCGCCGTCCCGCGCGCCCGCCGCTACCTCTCCGCCCCGCACGTCTTCCGCCTGCTCTTCGCCGACTCCGTCGTCCGCGTCCGCGCCCTCAACCGCACCCACTACCGCCTGCTCGACATCCACGCCCACCCGCTCGTCGTCTCGCTCCACCGCCGCGGCCCCGCCGCACACCTCCGCTTCGCCGCACACCACCCCCGCTGCTTCCCCGTTCCGCTCCACAGCGCAAGCCTCGACCTGAGCCTGCTCCCGCGCGCCCGCTTCCGCATCGCCTTTCGCGCACCGCACATCAACCGCCCACGCCCACGCCGCGCACGCAACCTCTACGCCCGCGCCCGCGTCGAGCAGATGCTCGCACACGTCCACGCTGTCCTCGGCTCCCGCCGATGCTCGGCTACCCTCCCGCATATCTCCGCCCTGTGTAACAACTTGAGATTCCCCCACTACGGCATGGCGAGAGTCCCGCAGCTCGCCCATCCGAAACGCGGCAAGCTCACACTGAGACACCGCCTCCCCAACCCAAGGCTCGTGTCCAACGCGCTTTGTAAGGACGTTTCTCATGCGCATGCCCCGAGACGACTCAACTTTCTCATGGTCGTGTTTGGCCAGTTTTTGGATCACGACATCGTCCTCACGCCAAGTGGGGAGCACCAGAAGAGGCACGCCCCATTTTCAGCGCTTAACAAGCGCACTGCAAGACAGCGCATGTCGTTTTTGCGCTCCGATATTCTCGCCTTGCCCAAGTGTTGTGATAAGGACTATGCCATAGTCACCACCAAGCACAAGGGCACAAGCCCTTTTAATCAGATCACCGCCTTTGTTGATGCCAGCGGCATTTATGGTTCTACCCCGCTTCGCATGCGTGCTCTCCGCTCGTTTAAGCATGGCAAGCTCATCATGAGCCGATACAAGGGGCACCTATTGTTGCCGCGAAACTCGAAACGACACTTGTTCTATACCCTCGACAATGCCAACAGGCCAAACGACCCGGCTCTGTTTGCGGCTGGCGATGTCCGAGCGAACGAAAATCCGGTGTTAACATCGCTTCACACTATTTTCGTTCGGGAGCACAATCGGGTCTGCAATCTTCTCGTCGCCGCTCTTAGCGATCAAAACAAACCGCTGCAAACAGATGAGTGGCTGTTTCAACAGGCTCGCAAAGTTGTCATGGCCGAACTGCAAAATATAGTCTACAACGAATTTCTCCCGGCCGTGCTCGGGGAATCCGCCTTGCCAGAGTACACAGGATATGACCCAAAGGTAGATGCTACTATGAATCTGCTGTTTACCACGGCAGCGTATCGTTGGGGTCATTCGGCCGTTCGAAACGATCTCCTCGTACGAGACTTCTACGGTCGAACGTACAAGGAACCATTCCAAAACGCCTTTTTCAATACCAAGCTTTTCGAAACAGTTGGAGTTGAAAAATGGTTGCTTGGAGCGATGCATAGTCGAGCTATGGATGTAGACTTGGAGCATGTAGATTCCATTCGCGACTTTCTGTTCAGTCCAAAGAAGCGAGGGACGCTAGACTTGGTGGCGCTCAACATTCAGAGGGGCCGAGATCATGAGTTACCGTCCTACTTGGCAGCGCGGAAGCTCTATGGTTTGAGTGGTGGTCTAGAAGATATTCCCAAGAACCTGCAGGAGCGCATCCTGGCAGTTTACAGGAAACCTCATCACATTGATGCGTTCGTGGGTGGGTTGGCTGAACGCAAGGTCCACGAATCCTTGCTCGGTCCATTGCTTCATAAGATTGTCGTTGACCAATTTCTGAGGCTGAGGGATGGTGATCGATTCTTTTATTCAAACATGAAATGGGGCAAGTTTATGAGCGGTCTGGATATAGTGAAACAAATTCAGATGCATGAGGTGCGGCTTGCAGATGTCATTCAATTGAACACACGAATCAAGGAATCGCACATGCCGTCGAAAGATGGTGCTATGAAGGTTGCAGCATAGTGGGCGTGTAGTAGTATCGTGTAGAGCGTTTCACACTGCGAATATAAATGTCACGTGAAAGTTCGTTTGGTCCTATACTGTACCGTGGCGACGCTTATAATGTCTTGCGTGTGGAAGGAGACCGCCTTCATTCATGCATATACTAAATTATTACAAGAATGGAACTCTGTCGATTTTTCTGCATGAAATTGAGGGCCATAGCGGCTTCAACATTATCGAGGGTGGTACACCGTGCATGACCACTTAAACAAACTACTTGCAGGATCGCCGATGAGAAAGTGGAATCCCACAGTATGAATATGAAACCATACCACATCATCTCTTTGCATCCACAGCGCTGTCGTCCGAGGACCTCTACCGCCGGGTTCTCCCTGGTTGTAACGTTGTAACCCCCTCTCCCTCTACCGCCGGCACAGGCCTTACTGTACACGTGATATGTACATTGACCACTATTTCCCCTGCACCAAAAGTTTATTGCTTTTCAAGCTCGCTGCTCGTCTTATTCGGTGAGAGGACGCATACCTGTGGAGGCCATGTTTGAAGGCATCTGCTATTGGAAAAGAAACTCGTTTCTTTCGCATGGTGTGAAAAAGAGAATCGCGAGGCGACCGTTTCCAACTACAGCACATTCAAGCCCCCCGGCTCTCGCAGTTCCCATCCTCAGCGGAGATGGGGCGTAGTTGCGAGTAGTACCCGTCGTGCGAAATCTGTCATTGGGCCCTGGCCATTGATTCATGGCCACGTGACGTTTTTGGGATGGAGCAGGTGAGCTCAGGAGTTTGCCCGCAGTGTGACAACGCGACGGTTCGGTTTTCACGGTTCACATTGAAAAAACCTCTCCTGTGACATTTCTGTCAAACCATAATGAAGGTGCCCTCACGTATGATCGATATAAACCAAAAGTACGACTGGCTTCGCACAGTGTATTCCGAGCAGGATGCTATCCGTCTATAAACCAAAGATGGCATTGTAACACCGATAAATTTCCTCTTTCATGAATACGTTTGGTCCATGGGCCCCATCTCGAGCCTTTATACGCTTAAGAGGAGGTCATACTGTACTGTACGTACAGCAGTACACGCCGCACTGTGGCTGTAAAACAAACAAAATGTGGAGCTGCAACTGTAACAGTATCTGTAGCTCTTGTCCGGAATCTCGAGTTTTCATGCAATTCACATGCAACCTGCAGGAATTAAAGAAAAGAAGGGCTCGTAAGCACAATTGTAGAGAGCAAATCGTCGACTCGATCACCCCTCGCCTTATCTCTGCATCGCCCGTTGTCCTCCTTCAGCCTCTCTGCAGCAAAACACTCGCAGAATGGGCCTCAGCGTTGTTGTATATAAATCAAGGTGCATATCGCGTATGATAAAAGAGCTTATTTTCAACCGGGAGAACCCGCTCAGAATTGCGTGCAAAGCGATGAAATCACTCAAATCGCGCAACACCGCTCCCTTCAAATATTGGAGGTATCAAGTGCACAGTTTCACCTTTTTACGAAACACTTGACCATATTTACTGCTGGAGCACAATTTTGAAAATATGGGATAAGACATGCTATTTTTCTAGCGAGACAGGGGGGAAGCTTGCTCGCAATCCACTGTGAAAAGAGGAAAATGCGGAGAACTGTCATCACAAATGCACCTCTCACGCCTTCATCGCCTCTCGAGTCAATAACTTGCATGTGGTGACCTGTAGGTGAATAGGGCTTCTGTACTACAGGTCCTCAAAATAATGCCTGTGCCTAAGAGATGTACGATGACATAGATACAATTTCTCGAAGGCAATCTAGGTTGGACTGCAGTAATTTTTTTGTTGGCTTAATTGGCCAAAAGCTCTTTCCCTTCACTCCAGAAATCGTCATGTATTGTCCTTGCCGCCAGATTACAAGAAAGGCCATATGAGGGTTCACGGTCTGCATTTGCATATCAACTGAACAGGCCATCTTGTGACAGTTCTCTATTGAAGGGAAAGAATGAACTTGCTCCGCAAGCATCGAGCTTAGTTTATCGACGTATTAAATTTCTCGGCGTCTTTTTCGGACAGTTTCGCCACAAGCATCTCAGATCCTACTGACTTAAATATCTAAAGGCCGAGATAGAATGAATTTAAGCTTGAGTCCGAGCCCCTCCTCCTCACATGCGCTCTCTCTTACCCTTCATATGGGGATGTAATATCAGTTACTCTCTTCGCGTAGGACTGTTCAGATGGGTACATGAGTTTTGTTTTTTGAGTCCATGGTTTATCACTAGAATGAAATTATGTCATATTGAAAATTTAGTGACTTTAAAGCAGGGTTGACTCTATCGGTTTCTATTGATTTATTTCATGGGGCTGCTCCGTGCATATTACTTTTTGGTGTGGAGACTTGCTTGAACGTTATGATTTTCGCATCTCGGCCTTTTGATCGTGATCCTTCTTGCTTCCCTCGGTTAACCATTCCTGATGCTCAGCTTGACGTCCTCTTCAGCTTGATCAGATATGATATGATGTCGCCATATACATCGGGAGGCAATACTTTCAAAATACCTCACGAGAGCATGTTTCATTTTGCATCCCTACATCGGTGTTTATAAAACTCCCTCCATATCCTTTTTTTATCGTCCTTGTGTCTCCGAAATATCGCTGTTCTTTCGCTCCCCGATTTAATTGAATAAATTTCCCTCGAAATCAATAAATGTTTTTAGTTCTGTCGATACTATCGACTTCAAAGCATCTGTTGAGTCCCTTGAATCATTGATTTGAGAAAAATCCTTACTCACTCATATAAGACATCCTGCAGGGATTGCATTTTATAGATATATCTGGAATGCAGCTTGCAGTCTATTCCACTTGAAGCGTTCGAAGGGCAGTAAGAAGCCTGCGGTCTTGGTTTGTAGTGATCATATGTTTGTGAAGAAAAGAAATGTTTTCTTGGCAGTCTTGATTGAAGAAAATAACTCTGTCTCCATTTCTGAAGCCAACTCCATCTCATGTCCTGTTGTTGTATAATGACGTGGAAGTCAATGTACTCGGAGTGTATGATGCGTCGAGCATGGTTGGAAGAGCTCTTTTCTTCCTCCCGCCGTTGTCGCGTTCGTGACATCATGTAGTACTAACAATACATTGACACATTACCTATTGTTCTCGTCCTTTGATGTAGGTGCAGGTGTGGAATGCAGAGAATAATGTGTCCAGAAAATGTAAGTCTCGGAGAAACGGATATATTTCGCTAACGCCTCTTTCAAAAGCCACGTAGGCGATAAATTAAAATGATTTTCGGAATGGTGGACAGGCTGAATAATAATAATAATAAATTAAGCTGGAGCGGTATTGGTGAAGGTCAAACGGTCAAAGCAGTTTTGATTTTACTTGGATTTTGTCAGGTAACTAGTTCGGGTTGCCTGCATTGTGGTGTGTTTTAGTAACGAGGGATGTTTTCTTGTGGGTGACGAAAAGAGAGATCGTGTGCAAAGTATACTGGTGAGTCCATTATTCCATCCCTCACACAGTTCTGACCCCACTTTTGCCTTGAGACGGCGATGGCACTGGTGATTTATGCGACCACTCAAATATATGCCGGTAGGCGGCGAGTGGATACGTGCTTCAGTGGCAGCATAGGGGATGTCTCTTGGGTCAGACTTAAACTTACAGTCAATAAAATGTTATAAAATAGTTTCTCAAAGGGTCACGTCCTCATGAAATAACCGACAAAGGTACGAAAAGTAAGTCCGCAATCTAATCAAAAACAATATATCACAGTACGAAGATCGCCGGATCTTGACAGCGCTCTGTAACTCTCAACAATGCGGTACGATCATATTTACTGAACACAGAGACGTAAAAGCTTTTAGTTGTACTGCTGTTGATGAGAGTGGAAGGCAGTTTGCTGTATGGGATTCTCTCTCGAAGAAAAGATCTTACTGAGATTTGAAAACACTCAGTACAGATACACTTTTTTATCTTTGAAAAGATGCAACAAGGGATGAAAGCAGCTTGAGAGGAGGATAGATATGCGTAAGGGTGGAACTTAGCTTGCTGCAGCATGTCTTTTAAAAAAAAGCGGAATACTATGCCAATGCAAGTGCTGAGTCATCGTACTAATACGGGAAACCGGCGGAAAAAAAATTTCAGGTTGTGCTTGCAAGCATGCCTGTTTCTCGCTAATGGGGCATAGATGGATTGGTAAGTTCTTTTTGTGCACAGAATAATTGAAGTTTCCTTCTATCTTCACTTTTTGTCAAAGCTGTTTTCGAAAGTGTTGTTGTAAGCAACACGATGAGCTGCATCGTCACTTGGTTGCCCCTGTCATAGTTTGAGAGAAACTCAGTTTCATACTTCACGTGCCTATAAACTCATATAGAGCAGCTACCTCACAATCGCTGTGACTTCTTCTAAACATTAATCTGAATTCCATACGGTGCCTGCGTGACTTCTCCATAGAAACTCGCGAGAAAGACTGCGATTCATGAGAATGTTGTTAGTGGTGCAATCCAGTCGATATCAAGCTACGACATTTAACATCGAAAGACAGCGAGAATGTTAAGCAATTTGAGTAGGTACTAATAGTGTAGCATCGAGCAGTCGCGGACGATGACTACTCGCATATATCATACCATATACCAAGAGATTTTTTTTTTTTTTTGAAACAAAAATAATCGAATGATACGCATATCTCTCAGAACGGAAAGAGGCAACAAGGAAGAGCTGGAACGAAGCACTACACGTGACAATGACCCCGACCATTAGTCACTGTGGTAGCCTTGCTGGCTTAAAACGATCCTGGAAGTTGCGCTCTTCCCTGAAGGCCCCATTTTTCGGTCCGGCTCTTCCACTCTCCATCCTGACGAGGTTCTGGTTTTGACATGTCATCTTTTTCTTCTATAAAACGTTAGGAGGTAAGGGAACGGATGAAAACATGGTTTGTAATGAAGCCAGACCCGTGGATGGTGCAAATCTTAACACTTGCGCAGTGTGCCCTTCACTTGCTTGAAGCACTTGTCTCTAGAGGTTGATTGAGATTATAGTTCTGTTGGTACCGCTCTTAAAGTTAATTCAAGGAAGCTCGTCGCCAGAACCCCCCTTTTCAACGTTCTCGT